ACTGAAAGAAGTTTTGGGCTGCTCATTGAAACGATAAGAGGTTGATATCTGAAATTATTTATTTTCCTAAGAAATCGTCTTTTAAGAAACAAGTAACATATAACACAAAATACAAAATCAAACTCAAGTTAATTTCAAGGTGTGTAATACATATACCTACATAAAAATAGTTATTTTCCTAACAAGTGCGCAAAGTGATATTCTCCCGCACGAAAAAGCAGTTAGACGAACGACGTGAAGCAGAGTTTGTGAAGCTTTCAGTGCAGGAAAGACACTCTGCGCAAGTGTTAGGAGCAATACTTTTTCTACTCGTTTTTCTACGAGTGTTTGAAAATTTGCATAGCATCCAGAGGAGCTGTACCTCATCTTCTTAAATGTTTCCCAGATGCTCAAAACTGGTAATTTTCTCTTTTAGCTCAATGTGCTGTGTTTTCTGCATTGATCAGCTTGATTTTATCTGCAACAGTGGTTGTGCTAGCAAGGTTTACTTAAAATTTGTTTTTTCTGCCAAATTTTGAGACTGAACTTGGCAGGATGATATTTTTTCATGTGACTTTTCAAATTAGTTTTATATAGTAACAGGTACAGCATCTTCCCAAATATTCCATCCATTTTTGCTTGCATTATCATAGATCTTCCTATGTCCATTGCTATCTGATTCATTCTTTGCGCAACACCATTAGGTTAGGAAGTATACGGAGGAATATAACTTACTGTCCAACTCTTATAGTCTGATACTCCGAAGGAATGTGAGATGTTAGCTCCCCGCGCCAGTGGTCACCCAATGTCATCGTTGCTGGATTTTTCTTCCCCTCGTTCCTCATAGGGAGAGTGTCAAATTAAAAAAGCATTACCTGAATGTCTTTCTTGGAACAAAAATAAAATTAAGCTCTTCTTTTTAAATATTAGTTTATCCAGAAACCCACAAAACATTGAAAGATCCAGTATAATACCCCACCTGATTACCATGCTAGACTTTTTAGAAAGATTTCAGAGCGAATCCAAGATACCTCTAGAAGCGTAGACTACCTGTCTTGTATGCAGGCCTTGTTTAGACGTTACGATGGATTGACTTCTGAAACTCAATTGGATATTGGTCTAGGAATTTATCACCTTTCTACACAACTCAACTCCCAGTTGTTAACTAACTTGAAGAACTAGAGCGTTAATGTCTTAAGCTGGAGACAAAGAAATAGAGTTGAACATTATGTTCCACTTTCCGGAAAACGTCAACAATTTGTAAAACCAGATTTTGCCTTTTTTGGGCTCGACCAACCTAACTCCGATTTGACAAGTTCTGTCTTGAACAATGATGCAGATTTATCCAACAAAGGTCAAGACCACAAAGTAATTCACCCAATTTAATTTGTTGGAATTGCCAGAAATCCGGTTATTTAAATAGAGATTGTTTTAACCCTAAGAAAACCCATTGCTATCGATGTAGTAACCCTAACTTCACAGTTAGGAATAGTCCTAAATGTGGTAACTCGGGAAGCGGTTCCAGGGAAAATCATAAGGTCGCGAGATTTCGTTCCTACACACCCAAGCGACCAATAAGCTTGATGGTTTTGGAATAGGCTCCTTCTTGACTACATTGTATCACATGCGCAAGGTGATTAGCGTCCATACCTTAAAAATAAAATATTGGGACATCCTATGTAAGGTCTACTTGACTCAGGTGCTAGTCGTACTTTGGTTGGGTTGCCTGTATATGACACTCTTTTGAGCTTAGGTTTGGAGTTGGTGAAATAACAAAATTTTTGCACTGTGGCATAGGTTACATTCAGATACCCATAACCTTTATGGACAAAACTCACATTATTGATGTTATCGTACTTCCTGAACTCTCACATAAAATCATTCTTGGAATAGACTTCTGGAGAACCATGAAAATTATCCCAGATCTTAGACAAGATGTTTGCCATTTTTCTAAGTATGCTAGTGAGACTGATATTTTGTCTATTCAAGATAGAGACAATTTGACTCCGTCAGAACGATCTCCTTTAGACACCCTTGTAAAGCAGAAAATTGCAGAGATGGGTACTGGACTCGGTTGTTGCAAGGTAGATGAGCATGAAATCATTATCGATCCTGGCACAAGACCCGTAAAACAAAGGTATTACCCTGTCTCTCTCTTCAAAAAGTTGAGGAAATGTGTAGCCAATGAGCGTTCTAGTAGTCCTTGGTCTGTGTGCCTTGCTCGGAAAAAGGATGGATCCTTCAGATTTTACATCGATTTCAGACAAGTCAATGAATATACAGAAAAAGACGCATATCCTCTTCCATATATTTCAACCATTTTAGATCGGTTGAGGGAGACTCGGTATATCAGTTCCATCGATATTAAGTCAGCATTTTGGCAGGTCCCTTTGAGTACATCTTCCAAGGAGTGCACTGTATTAACTGCCCCTGGCAGAGGACTCTTTCAATTCTCTCGGATGCCATTTGGCTGATCTAATGCTCCTGCAACCTGGCAAAGAATCATTGACACTATCCTTGGTTCAGAGGTCGAACCAAATTTCATGTGCTACATTGATGATGTGGTGATAATTTTAACTCTTTTTCAGAACATTTGCGACTTTTGGAGGTTGCATTTGACCGCTTGCGTCAGACTGGACTGATTATCTCGCTGAAAAAATCTCACTTTTGCAAGCCAGCAGAATTAACGTACCTAGCTTATCTGGTTGATAAGAAAGGATTACGCCCTGATCCAGAAAAGGTTGAGGCTATTGTCAACGTTGCACCACCGAAAAATATCAATAAAGTTCGCGATTGAGACCTGTACTCAAAATGGATACTCAACACAGGATTATGACCTATTTTTCCGATATTTGACATTTCATTGTACCTTTTCAAAATGATATTTATTATGCTTATTGTATCAATTTATTATTATATTATATAGAATGAAATTACCAATAAGTTATCTTTAATTAGGTCATACATTATTGGATTTAAATGATATTATTTCATTGCCTACTAGTCAATGCTTTTAGTATAATTAATAATTATTATTTATGAGTGCTTTCTAGTTATTTCGTACTTTTTCGAGGAACGCAATTTTATATTATTTATATTTATATTGCATCAGAATATTTATTTCGCATTCCTTGGAAAGGTAGGTAATTAAATTGAGAAAAAAGCAATGTACCGTCCGACTTTTATAATCTATCTTGAATCTGATACTCCAAAGGAATGTCAGCTGGTGGCTCCCTACGTTAGCACGCCAATGATCACCTGATCTTACACCTATTTTTGCTGTATTTTTCATCCTCTCGCTCCTCATACGAAAATTGTCAAATTAAAAAAGCTAAACATTACTAAATTTTGAACTGTGAATAAATATGTCATTGGAAGGTACTCCGTTTTTGATTTGGTAAATTTTGCATGTATTCTTGAAAACCAAAACACAATAATTTGTAGTAGAGGATTCCCGGAAAATTTTATGCCCCGAAGTCTTGGAAAGTCAACTTGAAAACAATAAATACAAAACGACTGATTCGTCGAAACTGCCACGTAATTGAAGGAGACTGACTTTGCCCGGAAATTGAAAAATCTGATAAAAGACTTTTATACCCAGAAGCTGCACTTAAGGAAATAAAGGAATAAATCGATTAGCTTTGAAGATGATCGAGATATAGAAATTGACAAAAGAATATACACAGAAATAAAATAAAGAGAAAAATAATAGGTATCTATGAATAAACAATAAATAAAAAACTTCACAAATTTTTACAGCTGCAGAAAAAAATTAGACTCGGGTATTAGAGATAAATGACAGTGGGATAAATAAAACAACTATTGGATAATCTAGAGATATTATCTCTCCGAAACCTGCATCAATAATGCGTTTTGTATGTCAAATAAAATGAGCGTTCGAAAAAAAAAGGCAGATTTCATTAATTGATTAATGTGAGTATCGGGGTTTTGAATTGGGAGATAATTTAGAAAAATCTACCTACTTTTTTTGTAGGTCTACTGTGCGTTTGAGATAAAGAATATACGAAAGAGAAACTTTAATGTTTGAATAAATAAAACGATATTGAAGGTAGGTATAGAAATAGTTTACTCTTCACTGTTCGGTAAATTCGGAATACTCATAAAAAATATCTACGAAATCACCAAGTAATCGATGATTTCAAACACAACTTTATAAGAAGAAGAATGTAGACGCATTTATTAAAGGTGCGACATTATAAACTTCTCTGAACCTGTCCTCGAAATCAGCCACGTGAGCTGAAAGTGTAGCTTCATTTCAATCGACTGGTGTTCTACCAAACATTACAAGAAGCTGCAGTCATCGATGGAGAATATCCGGTTCTGCTGAGAGCTTCTAAGGACTAGTTGATTCCCGTTTCACTGGTGCTCAATGTATAGTCTAATTGCGTCACTTGACCATTACATCAGGCTGCATCAGATTTTTTTCCATACTACGATTTGTCGATTGATAGGCTAGCCTCACCAGAATGACGTTTTTTGTGCGTTCATTAAACAATATGCCACTAGAGTTTCATTCTGTTTTCGATTGGCTCCACTTTCCTTTACGATCGTATTACAGAAAATAAACCATGGATCGGAATTGGAATAGTAGCATTGATGCACAACGCAACAAGGGAATCAAAAGAGTGACATAAAAGTTCAGAACAGATTGAGCAAAATTAGGATTAATTATGCATAAAAAAGTCAAAGAAATCGCGGTATAAAAACTACAAAAAAACACAAAAAAGAAATGTTCTCATGAAAGCAACGACATTATTATAGATAAGCATAAAAAGCTTAACATATGATATTTTAAAACTTTATTGTTGGGGAGCTTCAAGTTATATCAAACGTGAAACATGTTTTCTTTTACACCAGATGAAGTTAGACTTGTGTGTCTAAGATAAATGAAATTATCATCATTCGAATGATGAAACATTTCATCACGGCTCGATACTCATCATCACTCAGTATTGAAGATTTAAAAAGCTCATCTGCCACTGCCACTGACAAGTACTTACCAATTAAATCAATGATAACAATCGGATCCTCGCTGTACTTCTTATTCTTCCTGTTGTTAAAATCCGGTTCTCCCAATAGAAAAGCAGCTACGTACGGAGTGAAGATAGCGGTATACATCACCAGAATCAAAATTATCCAATCCCAGACCGCTTTGAAGGGTGAATAATGCAGGATGGTGTACGTGTGTATTCTGGGATTTTGTAGTTTGTATTCGGGCAGGACATCGGCTCCCAAGGAAAGGACCTGGAATAGAAATAGCGAATAAGTAAAGCAAAATAGTGATAAAGAAGTATGTTGCAGCAAGAATGAGAACTTAATGTGTCCCACGACGTTTTGAAAAAATTGTTATTTTATAATTTTAGAAACAATTTCTTTTGACCATCCAAATGAAAACTTTAGATCAGGTCGACTCCATTCCATATAAATGCTAAAACCTATCCGACATTAAACACCATATCCTACTTCGAAATTCCATACATATAATATTAGCTCGAGACAGCCAACGTGTCCCATTTTATATAAAATATAAACCACTCTCCTTAATTACAAGTGTTTATCGACTCTCGTCATAGGACAGGCTTGTGTATTACATTGTTTGAACACTGGTTGTATATTATGTATAAATGTACGGTAAATGTATCTAGTCGGCAAGCATTAAAAGCGCTAGGGGAAGATTGGGGATTGAAATACATTACGGTTTTCCTTTGATGCTATTTGACGTTTTCTCAAAGAGAAAGTTGGTTAACATTGGACATTTGTGTAACATTTTAAATTGCAATACCCCATCGTGAATTCGAAAAAAAAACATGTATGTAAGTTTTAAAATTTATTTGGGGGAAATCTATTAAACTATGTTAATGAACCCCTGACATCACATTATCACATCGGTCAACTCCAATACAATAGCATTATTGACAAAGAAGAGATAATTTTAAAGTCTAATATCGAACAATGATGATTCTGCAATAGCAATATGCCAACTATAATGTATACACGTACTGAATCTCTTATGAACTGATCATTTGAACATAGAGGATTTCTACGCTCTACCGATAACCGATATTGTTTAAATTTCGTTAATAAAAACTACGAACAATATTAATTTGCATAAAATCAACGTTTTCACAAAATAATACAAATCCATACAAAATAAAGAGACATTCCAGCGTAAGCTGAAATTTAAATACGCGATATTGATTTCAAATATTTACCGGCAAATAGGTCTTTAATCCAAAGCAAACATTCCCATCATCAACATTGTTAGGCACAATCACGATAATTAATGAAAATTCAACAAAGTGTACCTAAACGAATTTCTATTAATATTGAAAACAGAATCGATTGGAAGGCAAAATAGCTATTTATACAATAAGTTACGAAATGAGCGTCTTTTAGGCACGCGACGTGAAAATTGTCCAACGAGGCAAAGCCGAGTTGGACAACACGTCGAGTGACTAAAAGACATCGTTTCGTAACGTATTGTATACAAGATTTTTTCTACTGGCATTTTATAATAAAAAAAACACAATTTTATTTCATGTGAATAAGTCGATTACACCCAAAATCTTTGTCACCTGCTTTTACTTGACACCTGACACTTTTCATGCGATTTTCTTTTCAAAATTCGGCATCAATATTTAAAATCCTAGAAAGTAGGTAATAACACAAAGTTCTGTTTTGAGTAACCCAAACGTTCAATTCAGTAATTCCATTTTCAATATTCATAATAAATACAAAACAAAATTCAAATATGTGTTTAGTGTTGTTTTTTATTTCTGAATAATGATTGACACTTTTAGGCACTAGTGCTTAAAAATTACTTTTACGCACTCATAAGTCACTTTTACGCATTCAAAAGTCACTTTTACGCACTGAGTGCCTAAAAGTAACTTTCACGCACTCAGTGCCTAAAAGAATGTCGTTTCAAAACTGAAATGACAATCGAAAAGTTGCTATTATGAAACGTCAGTAAAAAAAAACACTTTTGTGTTGGGATATTTTGTGTGCGAGAAAGAAAATATCCAGAAGTATTAGTTCTAAAATTCAGGAATACCATATCGCCTTAAATTTATTAATTTGTAACAAGAAAAAAAAGACTTAGGGCTCTTAAGATGACTTAGATAGATTAATATACCTTTTACCGTGACGTATCGAGAAGCGGAGGATGAAATTTATGTTATAAAGTTCATCTCAGTAGAATTTTTTGTTGACCTAAATTTCTCTAAAGATCTATCTTTTCCTAAATTCACTTAATTTCATTTTAGAATAAATCTTTTACATTTTACATTGCTTTCTGTATTGAGAAGCGGATGAAGTTTAAATGTGATAGAATTCATCCCAGTTAACGGTAAATTTTGCTGTCGAGCCAGATTTTTCCAAGTTCCTTTACTCTTTTTGCAATTAATTTATTCCTCGGAAGTTTATCCATTTTCTTAATTTGCAGAAAGTAGTGATTAAGTAAATTGGAGATTTCAGACAATATTTTGGTTTTGCTTGTACCTACTTTTGAAAAACTGGTTCCAAGACAAACTCGTTGTACGTACCAGAGTAACCGAAAAAAAATTTGATAGGCTAATAACGGCCATTTGCACCGCTTTAACTTAAGGGATATTTAATCCAAGTGAAGCTTTGAATGTGCCTCTTGTGCAAACAAAAGTCACATTCAAAGCTCCACTTAGATTAGATATCCCTTAAGTGATAGCCGTGCAAATGGCTATGAGACTACTTATGATAAACCCTTCATGTATGTACAACTTTTTCTTTCTTATTTAGTGAGTTATAACACAATCCATGATTCAATATTGTGACCAAATGTAAATTAATTTTGATGAGAAATAGTTTTGTTTAGTCATAAAATTGAACAGCATTTTATAGAGAAACGCCGCACGAAATTGTCTTGAGAGCCCGGTCGGATTCTTGAAAATTCGTTGTTTGTGCAGAGTCTTCTCTGGGAATTATATTATATTGGATTAGATTTTTTCTAAAAGATAGATCCAAGTATGATTTCGTCTATAAATTGTACGTAGTAGTGTGACAAAGCTGAGATGTTATATAGAAATTGATATTTTGGTAGCGTGAATAATTCTGTCACATCTTAAATTTCGTGGTAAATTATGCTCAAAAGTAAATTTGAACTAAAGCAATGAATAGCAATTTTCTGAACCGAAGGCAATCTGAGCAAAATCTTTTTTCATCTCTTCTTGAAGTAGTTTTTGGAAGATGTTATTAGAGGCTCAAAATTAGTACCACTTACCACTTTCCTATTGAAGCTGCAATCACCTCCTTTACCGGCAGTAAAGGTGGGATCTTTCTATGCCACTACCGGTGTTTTAAGGGGAGTTTTAGAACCAGAATATAAAAAACTAGTTTTAAAGAATTGAAATTAATTTATTTAAGATTAAAAAGAGAATTTGAGCGTTAATTGATTTAAAAAAAAGGTAAGAGAAAAAGAACATAAAATACTGCAATAATTTTAAATGGTACTTCGACCCAGACACTACTAAAATTACCTTATTTAATTAATAGACGAAAAACAAATTGAACTAAAGAAAAATTGAAGAGAAGAGAGACCCAATTGAAAGATTTATTGCCAGAACTGACACTTTAAAAGAATTCAAATTAAAAATAAACTATCACCTCTTGGAAGAGCCTTTACTAAACACTGGGCGGCAGATGAACTGGAGGATGAGAAAAACGGGTCGAGAACTCGTTAAGATTTTGCGATTTAAATGTCTGGCAACAACTGGCTTTAACTGGCCTCAACACTCGCTTAAACAAGCAAGAGGAACCACCCTCTTGGTACCGCTTTACAAGCCCATTGGCTATCTATTAGTTGGGTTGACAGTTGAGAAAATCATAGATCTCCAACCCTCCTAGCTTTCAGCGATTCGCTGAAAGTACTCTCCGGTATTTCTTGCTGTTTTCTCATTGGTTCTCCAGTTGCATCAAACTTCCCTATTCATACTGCTTCACCCTGTGATTCAGTTTGAAAGCTCTCCAACAGAGTTCGCTAGTAACATGATGTAAAATTAATAATTTTAACGTTTTCCCCTTTAATTGAAAATCTTCTCTTTCCTTTTTTTTTCTAATTATGTCTTCTATTCTAATTTCCAAATTGTTAACCAAATCAAGTGAATGAAATAAAAGATCCCTAATTATCAAGGGTGTGAAATAAATTAAGCTATCCTCTATTAATTTATTCATAGAATAATTGAGTAATTCACTCCTATCTCAACCTACTCATATCCTGATTTATAATTCAATATTCAACTATCTTACAATTCACATTTAACCTAAGTAATAACCCTTGATAATTTTACTGTTATACATACAATTTAAGTATATTATTGTATCTTAAAAAAACTAGCTCATGTAATTATTGTTTGCTTTCACACACACATGCTTCGAATATAAGTCTTTTCAGCAACGGTATCAGTTACCTGACATTTTGTCATAAAACGTGGGTATTCAGAAGATTATCCTTGACTTTGAATAATGTGATGATGTGATCCGGTACAACTACAGATTAGTTTAAAGTTTAGTGTTTATCTAGGAAAACATAAATTTTGCCTATATATTTGTCAATTTTGGGTTACAGCCAAATAATCGTAAAACTATAAAATTCGATATCTTTTTGGCTTACAACTGATTTTATCCTCAACCAGATTAGGTCGTTCCCAGAAACTCCATGTGTTTGTAAATCTTTTTAGAGTCACATTTTAACTATCTATAGAAAAAACGAATCTGTTTCCTACGAAAGATGAACTTGAACCGAGATTATATGAATTTACTATTGATTTTGTTACAGGCACGGGGAGCAGTCTTATAAGAACTTGATTGTGAGCAGTTTGAAATTCGAGATTTGATGTGTACGTTTGGATAAGTGATAAGTGAATTTTCTGTAAGGTCAATTAGTTTAACGAAAGTTATTGTTTGTGGAACAAGTTTTATAGTGAACCGGAAATCCGGGACAATTTGGTAATAAAAGTGGGAATTTTAGAGTCTGTATTAATTTTAGCTTATATTAGTGGTAACAATCAGGCAACTTTTATTGAACTGAAACAAGTAGGTACTTTATTACCGGATTGGATTTGACATCGAAAAACAAGCTCACAAGTGGATTAAGACTAGGAAAACCGAAGACAGAAAGCAAAACAAGAAGAACAAAGCCGACTTCAAGAATAGAGCCATGAGGCACACCACAGTTATCCGAATACCCGCCTCTATATGAAACTACCTGCTGACGATCACTCGAGTACGACTGAAACTAATTTAGAGTCACACCTCTAAAACCCTACACTTCAAAATGATCGACACAGTCGAGAGCCTTCGATAAGTCACAAAACATCACTGCTGAAAGGTGATTCTCATTTGTACTCAAATAGATATATTCCAGAAGGGAGACTATCGCATTAGATGTTCCTTTGCCACACTAGAAGCCAAATTGATTATCGGAGAAGAACCTGTTTAAATGTGACAGAAATTGTTGTTTCATACAAACAATCTGAAGAATATTTAGCAAATAGATTTGAATCAAAAATAGGTATTCATTACATCTTTTAGTTACCATTAAGCCATATTTAGACTATGATACAACGAAAGACAAATCTGGGCAATAAGTATGGGCCACAAAAAAAAATTAAAAGTGAACAAAAGTATTTAATCTCACCAATTTGAAATTTTCAATTCGGTCGTGTGTTCTTAAGCACGCATCATTGTTTATCCCGATCTAAATCATATGAATTTCACATCATTTTTAATTTTTTTATTTTGAATGTTCCTATAAAAAGACAATATGCCCGTTCGAACATTCCCTATTCTATATATCTACTCACATTTCCAATATTATTCGTAGTCGGACTTACTAGTTTGTCATAGTCCACACCCATCGGCATCCCATTGCACGGTTCCACTTTGACCTTAGTACTGTCCTCATAACCGGTTCCTTTGATCCGTACCGAACTCCACTTGACCGGAAACCCGATAATCGAAGACCGTTCGCGACCAATGTCGTACTTTAAACTACCCCCCACTGTGCTTTTTTTCCGTTGCTCGGTAGAGGTACCGCGGCCCGATTCATCGGTAGGACTTGCGCAGGAGGTCGTCTTTCGGCTCTCCGTGGATTTTTTTCCGGAAGAGGCGCTGATACTTTTTTTTCGTTTCTTTGGGGTTTTTTTGTCTGCCGTCGGAGTCACTATCAGCGGAATTTCTACTGCCAAACCGTCGTCGTCCATTTTTGGGATTTGAAATGAACCCCGATGATTTGGGACATTTATGTGATTGATACTGAATAAAATTATAATGACGAGAGCTTTGGAATTTGTTTCTCAACTTTCTTTAATTTAATTGACATCGTTGATATGATTTCCAAAAATACTAGTTGATATGCTTATTTTGAAAATATCTTAAATTTTACGTAATTTATATATATTTATGCAATTTTTCATATGTTAGTTGGATATGTTCGAAGTATTGTCACTTTGATATTTTAATGCTTCTTTGTTGTGTTTGATTTCTTTTGGCTTCTTTAGTTTAATATATTTATCTGTTCATAATAGTAAATAACAGTTAATTATAAACAAATATCAAGTAGCATATATTTCAGTTAAAAATCAAATAAAAGGACCTAAATTGTCTTAGTCGAATGTATGTATTAATTAGGATTTTTTAAATTTTGCCAATGTATGAAGGTGCGGCAGGATTGAATGTAGCAGTGGTATTTCTCACTTACAATTATTTATTCTTCAAAACCCTTTTTCCTACAAAGTATAAGTTAGTTTTTTTTATGCCAAAAGATTATTTTCTAATCAGTGCAATGTACAATAATTATTTTAACTAATTGTGTGCCAAAATTTTCCACGAGTTGTCATTCAAGCAAATTGGCAATTAGGTATAAGAAACAGAGATCCAGGTGAGCGCACTGAAAATAATTAGTTTTGGTGCCCTTACCACGGAATTGGCAAATTTATTTAAAATAAATGAGAGATGTTATCAAGTTACATGCGTGTCTGAGGTCCAACAAATGTTTCTGACATTAATTTATATGAATTATTTCAATTTTTTACTAAAAACTCCCTTTTTAACAAGTTTATTCCCACAGGTTTATAACTTCTGTGAAGTTAAAACTTTTTAAATTACATAAATAGCCAATTACTGTTGTTAGATCTCGGATCAAATAATAAATTGTTAAAGGTATAACTTGACAGTAATTGTATGAATAAAATAGCAGTATTCAACCCTAACCCACAGAAAGTTTCAAAGGGCATTTCGGATGATTAGAATAATAATATACCAGGGCATTAAATTCAATCTTTTCTGAAAATAATTGGCAATAGAGAAAATTAGAGGGAAGGTAAACTAATATTATAGCACTAATTGTGTAAATGCGTTATTTTAAGCAACTAAACAAATTAGTTTATTAGAGGGACAGGAGTAAAATCGAAAAGTAGAATGGGCATTTAGCAGCCTTTATAAATTTAGGTTTGATACAGAACTGCATAAAATTGCACTCCAGAACAGCGAGTTTGTGGTTTTAGGCTAAATGTAGGAATTGGTTCCTTTTATACATATAATATACCTATAAAGCAGAGTTTTTGAAAATAATGAGTTTTTTAGTATTTTATAAGTATGAAATATAGAGTAGAGATAATGGATTTAGGACTTTGGAAATAAAACTCCCTTTTAAAAAAATTTGCCGACGTTTCGACCATATACACATTTGGTCTACTTCACAGGCGACAAATAAAAAAATGGTTTTTACATATATGGCAAGACACGAACGAAAAATTCTTAGATATAAATCATATATACCTAATTCTTAAAGAAATAACACAAAAATCATTGTAGAAAACATTCCAAAACACACTCCAGTGAAGAAGACCAAATATATGGTCGAAACGTCGGCCTAATTTTTCAAAACAGGTATTATTTCTAATTTCCTCAACCCATTATCTCTACTCTATCTTAAGGCCGTTTAACAGCTTACAAGAAAACTTGAATGCAATTTTTTTGCATGCAAAAAAGTTGCATTCAAGATTTCTTGCACGTCGTTTTACACCTTGCAATACGACGAAGATAAGGAATTATTCCTTTTTAAGTGGACTTTAATCATCAGAATTGCCTAAAATTTGGCATAGACATTCTCTGATCGATTATCTACAATCCGATTATTTTATTTTTCGTTATTTTGCGTTTTTCTTAAAATGAAAAAGTGTATAGGTACATATATCTACACCTTTTCCATGTTAAATTGCGAATTTAGCAATTTATATTGCGAATTTTTCAATTGATTTTGCAAATAGTCAAGTGATATGGCGACTATATCAAATATAATTGGGAAAAGGTAAATGTAATTGCGAATATATCAAATGTAATTGAGAGAAGTTAAGTGTAATTGAGAATATTGGGGATAATCAAATGAAATTTGGAATATATCAAATCTAATTGCGAATTAATCAAATATATTTAAGACATAATCAAATATTCTCTCTGTCGACTCTTTCTCGCCGTCCTCGTTGATCTGCATATATCACAATTATTGCGAAATTCCATTTTTGTGTCACCTTTCTTTGACACAAAACTACCTATATTTATGTAAACAAAAGCTTTCTTTAACAACAGACTTAAATATTTTAGCAACAAAATACAGATGTTGATTGAAAACTTATAAGGCTCAATTACATTTGATTTATTACTAATTTTATTTGATTATCCCCAATTACATATGATATATTCGCAATTATACTTAACTATTCTCAATTACATTTGATGTATTCGCAATTATATTTAACTTTTCTCAATTACATTTAATATATTCGCAATATCAAGTGACCATTCTCAATTAGACTTGATTTATTCGCAATATTATTTTACTATTCCTAAAATTAGGTAATATATTCGCAATTACACATGGAAAAGGTGTAGTTGCCTATTTTCAGGATTTAGGTATTTATAGATTATTTGTAAGAACTTGCAAAATATCGAAAAACTAAAATAATCGGATATTAGGTAATCAATCTAAGAATATTCCTGCCAAATTTCAGGCTCTATCTGTCTAAAACTTTAGATGAAATCTACAATGTTTAGGGATAGGTTGAAGTAAAAAAATCAACAAATATATAACAACTGCACAGTCACTTTAAAAAGCAATATATTCGCTAATTTGAAATCCTCATTTCCTAATTTTCCCTCATTTATCATGTCTCTTTCCGAAAAATAATCCCTTCTTCAGTTCCCTCGTCGTCGCATAGAATGTTGAATATGTTACATCTCTCTAAGTACACAAATTACTATTAAATCTACTCTCAGCAGCATTAAAAAGTGCTTCACTTTCGTCGCCAATAGTAATTAGCCGCCTATTGACATAAAAGTGGAACTTTAACCTTTAACATCAACAATTCAGTAGCAAAATGTTAGTTTTTTTTTAAGGTTCGAGGAAAAAAACATATTCTTTAAACTTCTCATTACGCCAGAACATGTGGTTGTTACCTAGAAATGGATCTAATATAGTTTATGGAATAAAATTTACCAAGGCAGTCTGAACTGAGCGTAAAAGAGCTTTCAAACGTAATATCGTTTTTGAAACCCTCGCATTTTTGTTTAAATTTTTGATTGACAGCTTTTTAATTCCTTTTTGCGCTCAAAATGGGAATAATCTATTCCATTTTATTCCCAGAGACGATTAACGCTATCTCCCCCCAGTTAATTTTTCTTGCTCAAAATTCTAGCGCAGAATAAGGACATAAAGTTAAAAAAAACGTGTAATCATACTAGAAAACTAAAAAGCGAATCAATCTGGAAATTTGGCAACCTGGATAAACGACCATGATCTACACTTTAAAAATATCTTTGACCATGCTGTGTTGCCGCTTCTACTCTAAGCCGGTGGCAACATCGCTATTTTCAATGGAATACTCTGTATATTTTTAAATTTTCGAATAATTATGAGCAACTTTTCTTAATACTTCCCCATACCCTATCTGTCGCCGTTTTTCGGGAATAAATTAATTTCAATTTTTTTTTTAAGGAAAACATGGACTTTCAATATAGAACTTGATATCTCCCTCCTATGAAACAATTTTCAGCTGTAATTTGGGTTATCCTTCTAGACATTTGATCTTTCGCTCACATCTTAGTTCAAGTATACAGGATGGTCCGGAAATTCATTTTTGTCGGTAACTTACAAAAACAACAGATTTTTTTTTTTAAATGGAACACCCAGTATAATAATACGGATTTAAAAAGTTGATAAAACTAGCTTTCAGACTATGTATACTTTGCCTACCTATTCCTAATTCTTCATGTTTTTGATTTATTAGCATTTATTCATTAGCATTGTTCTCGACTAATCCAAATTTCAGCTCAAAGAAAAAAAAATTGAAAATAATTACCTCTTTATTCCTGAAAAGCGGCAGATAGGTATAGGGAAGTATTAAGAAAAGTTGCTGATATATGCCGAATTCGAAAATTTAAAAATATACAGGGTGTTCCATTTAAAATAGCGATATTGCTACTGGTTTAGAGTAGAAGCGGCAACACCGCATGGTCAAAAATATTTTTAAAGTGTAGATCCATCATGGTTGTTTATCCCGGTTTCCAAATTTTCAAAATGATCCGCTATTCAGTTCTCCATAAACGTCTAATACACTATCCACCGTGGGACACCCACCCATACATATATTATAGGACACCTATATCGATACGTCCGCGATGATGGAGCATATCGATACAAATTTGTCATATCGATATGACAATTTGTATAATTCGTATGTCAGAATGTCATTTGTCATTTCATTACTGTCAGTAGTTTATTAGGTGTGTTCGGCTTGCTCACTCCGTGCACTCCGAGTGTTTCCATTCGCACTCCAGCCGTTCGGATATTGCTTTCTGGCGTATTACGGGTGACTCCATTAGCGTTTGACTTTACGAAGTGGAGTACATGGAGTTCACTCCAAAAGTTCCACCTTAGAAAGAGAATTTTTTAAAGTAAGCATGCGCAGAAGTGAAATGTGGAAACTGTCAAGCTTATTGTGTTGTCACGGTGAGACTGGTCATTTTATTACTGTTAATAGTTTCAATATTGGCCGTGTTCGTTTTTGTCATCTTTTTCGTCGATTTGCTCCGAAATTTTGACAGACACTGACTGGATCAGACAGTTACAATTTACAAATAACGTGCCTGTCAAAATTTCGGAGCAAATCGACGGCAAAGATGACAAAAACGAACACGGCCAATATTGAAACTATTAACAGTAATGAAATGACCAGTCTTACCGTGACAACACAATAAGCTTGACAGTTTCCACATTTCACTTCTGCGCATGCTTACTTTAAAAAATTCTCTTTCTAAGGTGGAACTTTTGGAGTGAACTCCATGTACTCCACTTCGTAAAGTCAAACGCTAATCGAGTCACCCGTAATACGCCAGAAAGCAATACCCGAACGGCTGGAGTGCGAATGGAAACACTCGGAGTGCACGGAGTGAGCAAGCCGAACACACCTAATAAACTTCTGACAGTAATGAAATGACAAATGACATTCTGACATACGAATTATACAAATTGTTATATCG